GTAAATGATACCATGTAAATACAGTATAACATTCAGTGTAACACCGACAAAGCGAATTCACAGATATAGCTAAGTTTTTGGGGGGTCCTGGCCAATTTGTTAACAATTCTTTGTAAAATTTGACGGAATAAGCGATTTCTGGTAAAATTTTTTACAGATACATGTATCGCAAACTGATTTTGAGTCCTGTAGAGGATAGATATAATAAAATATAATAAAATAAAAAAAAAAATTATAAGGAATTTTCAAACATCTCAAAATTTGATATATTGAACTGACTTTATTTTCAGAAATTATTCAAACAAAATTCAATTCATTAAAAAACCTTAGTTATCCAATATGTTATAAAATGATTGCTTCCCTTACATATTCGGAGGTAAATCTTCCAGGAAAATGTGCATATTGCCAACTCGCCATATATATTTCTACAAATTCTTACAAATATAACGAATCACGAATATTGGGAATTAAAATCACAGGTCCCCAGGACTTTGCTTTAATCAAGTTTAGGATAAATTACTTTGCAATCAACTTAGATATTGTTTGAACCTTCCCCCATAAGGTAAGAAAATGCAAAAAAATTCTATCTCTTAAAGGCAAAGGTTTTAAGTACCGCCTTCAAAAATACCTGGTCTGGGTAGCCTTGTCAATTAAGTGCATGAAGGTTAATCATTGGATGCTGGAACTTGATTGACATTTACTTACTTTACTCTGTGTATACCCTGTACACCTTGTTTGGGACTCTTGGTGATTAATCTCTGATCCTTTGATGTTTACTGAACATTGTTTACAGAAACTGTATAACTACATGTATGTACATTTTAGACTGATAATATATGAATTAATTTATATATTAAACATACCTTAAATATTTGAAAGGATTATAATACACTTTTAATCAGATAAGAATTTACAAGCAGTCGTTTTAGCATGTTTCATGTTGAAGAAGCTTAATCAATTAAGGTTCTAGGATAAATCTAGATATTTTTTTTAGTATAATATAGTTAACACAACTTTTTTTATTTAATTAATAGAGAGAATCCTGTGGATGAATAAATTTCAAAAGTTTCAAAAGGAGTTTTTTTTTAATTAACACATACACTCAAATCTAATTAATCATAGTTTTAATATTTGAATTTATTGTATTATATCATATTTTTTAAAATGGTCAGGGATGTTTTCAAAAAGTCAAAATTAAAATCATTATAATAGAAAAACCCTTAATTTTACTACTAAATTTAAAATTGTCTTAAAATCCCCAACTCAGGTTAAGTTTGACACCTGGGGTATTTCACTGTGTATTAAATGACTTCCTGTGTATAGGGATAAGGAGACAGGTGGCCACAGGTAGACTGCTAGCCCCCAACGAATTCACACCTGTACAAAATAAGCCCCTCCCTCATCTGAAATTTACCACCCAGTAAAAAATCTCTGCCTTTAAGGTTAAAAAGTTATGGTGAAGGTTCCAACTACTTTTAGCATATAGGTCACAGTCAAGGTCAAAAATGTTGCCATGTGAAAGAACTTAATTAGTTGAGAGTGCATATTAAATATGATGTCTCTATCTCCTATGATTCAAAAGTTATGGCGAAGCTATTTTAGGAATATAGGTCACACTCAAGGTGACTAACCATGGTGTCATTTAAAAGAGATTATTTAATTAGTGGAGTAACCATATAATATGTAGTCTTTGTCTCTTGTGGTTCAAGAGTTTTTGCAAAGATAATAGTTGACACAAATAGTAAAACAGTCAGACAAACCGTCCAAAACAATATGTACCCCATCTATTGATCCTGGTGCATAAAAATCATTAAAAGTACGCCATACCCATGCAAAAGTTATCAAATAGGAAATAAAAGATTTATTTGAATGTTTTCCTAAACAAGCAAGGTTCTGAATAACTAATTCTCTCAAAATAAATTGTAAAATCCAGTTGAGATCCAGAGCATCTGGACTATGTTTCAGTGTACCTGGTCTGTATGGCTTGGTCTCTAGTTTGGCCATGGCTGGGATGATAAGGTTTAGTTCCTGATCCTTGTCATCCATCACTCCATTCTGTTGTCTCTTAAGCCGCTCCTCAGCTTTCTTTTTCAAGGAATAAGTCTAAAACAAAAAAGGTGCCATTAGGTCAGATACTATATTATACTATATACAACTGATAATCATATCACATTAAAAGCTTGAGTAAACCAAATATATTAACACACAACTTCATTGACAAACAAGTTTTGTGGTATGATAAACAGAATGTCAGATTGAAGAGACAGACGTGTCAAAATCATGGAATAAGAATAAAAGTCAGAATTCATAGTGAAACAGAGTTATACAGAGATGTCAGTTTAGAAAGTTTGTACTGTAATTTATGCTTTAGTATATTAAGATAATTTTCACTGTAATGGTATAGATATTTTGGACTGTAATTAATTTAACATGATATTAACCGTGTAGTAGAAGTCATCCAGATATGGATTTTCTGTTTGGAGTTGGATCAACTGGATTTTGATAATCCAGTCTTTTTCTTTTTGAGTCATCAATCCAGCGTAAGCATCCACCGATCTCTTCCTGTCTTCCTCCGGATTGTAATGGTAGTACCTGCGGCGGTCGTGTTCCCGCCGGTTGTCGTGGTAATCTCGGCGGTGTTCCCGGTTGTCAGGGTGATGACCTTGATCGTACCTGGCTGGGTCATGACCTTCTGAATAACCCTCTCTGTGATCAGTATTGCTGTAGTTTCCACGGTTACTACAAAGATGTGAAAATTCACAATGTTCCATTTGTAAAAAAAAATATTTTTAGAATATTGCAACCTTTTTTTATTTTCATATAAACACTGTACTTACTGTCCCCTGAAGAATCCCCTGCCTCGACCTCTTCTGGGATCTGAATGACCCAGTGGATGTGGTGGTCTACAAAACATCAATATTCATCAAGTTATAACTCATTTAAATATATTCAGAATCTGTGTATTTTGACATAGGATTGTTAAACATTAATATGTTCAGTGGTTATTTATGAGACTGTGTGGTTGTCTTCAAAATATGAATATTCATTTATTTTAAGTTCAACTAATTCCTATAAATATATTCTGCATATTTTTGTATGGGCATATTAAACATGCTTTTAGAAAAATGTGTTACATAGTACTTAGACAAGAAAAGGTGATGTAGAAAGAACAATTAATATATTTCTTAAACTTCCCCCAAAACATACAAGTCATCTAGAAAACTTATTAAAAGAATCATACAAAATTTGACCTTACCTTGGGCCCACTGGGCTGTTGTGAGGGGGAGGGTAGGACCCTGCGTGGGGTGGGCCGTAAGGACTGCCGGAGTGAGGACCAAAGTGACCGCTGTGTGGACTTTGGCGTGGACCAGGGCTGTTGTATGGACTTTGTGGTGGTGGACCCCTCAGCAGCTGGCGGGGGATACCAATGGGAGCACTGGGCATACGGCTTCCTATATAACAAAAGATGATAGAGTGTTGATACTATGAATGGATTATATAGAAGATACAAAGATCTACATTAAATATATGTGATAAAAGATGAATTGACTTAAATGATTCACATTATTTTTATCTTAAAAGATATTTTCTTAATTTTAATATATTCTTATGATCAAAATTTTAAGAATACCATTAAAAAATTTTTTTTAATTATTAAAGCATTTTCTTTCTTTTATTTTTGGTAACAAAACTATATCTTAAATTCTTGAAAGTCAGTAAAGTAAGGGTCATGTTAAACCATCTTGCAACATGTTAAGTTTGTGATTAAATAGGATTTCAACATGCTCTGCAAGATTAACAGCTCAATAAATTAAAATATGCATTTTTCAAGCAAACTATTTTTAAAGTCAGTTCATGCAAAGTTGAAAAAAATCAAAGTAGAAGATATCCAAGTAAAAGACAACTAACCCCTGGTTTATCAAAATCCACATCCTGATTCAGCAGTTTCCGTGATTTGCCTGGTTTCATGTCTTCGTGGATTTCATCCAAGTCTTTTGTTTTCCGTTTCGTTCTGTATTTCTCTTTGATTGGTTTATCTCCCTTGTGTTGCTTTTTTCTCGCCAGGCGCCCCATGGTTTTGTTTTACTTTTTATCTGAAAGTTATATAGACACATTAAGCAGTTACATGTACTAGCTGAAAGCTACTAAAATGGAAAAAATCATTCCAACCTAAATTAAAATTTCCCTTCACTTAGTTTTAAATAAATCAAAATATCTTAATTGTTATTGACATATTTTAGATAAAGACTAAATGGCACAGGTATGTGAAATGTTTTTAAAAGTTAAACACATCAGGACAATTTAAGTGTTGTATACAAACCAAAATGCATGATTATATTGGCCATGTTGGCAGTTTTCTACAAATTATCAGTGATGCTTTGTCTTTCATGCATTTAAGATTTTTAAAACTTTAAAATAAATGCAGAAAATTTAAATAGGTTAACCAACATGACCAAAATTGAAAAAAACCCAACAAAATACTGATTAAAAAGGGTATCCAATTTTTTGGGTCATTTTTTGATTTCTAACTCATTATTTTTCTGTAAAGTGAAAAATGATGAAATTGTATGGAAACAAGACCATATTAAAAAAAACAATTAAAACTTTATTTTCTAAACCACATGAAATCTTAAACAGTGTCGATTCCAAAGAGGAATATCATTTTTCAATGACAACCACATCCAAACTCTAGGAACTAAATGTTAAATACTAGCTGCAGAACTGTAGCTCTCAAAAAAATATATATATTGATAGACAGGAGAGCTACAGTGCCACCCATTGCAAAAACTGTATATATATATTTATTGCGCACATTTGTATACAAGGAGAACATGTGCTGTGACATCGAAATAGGGCAGCGAGAAATTCAAATATTGCGTATATTTTTTATGCTTTAAGTCAAAATGTAAAAAAAAAAAGGAATGTTGAAAGTGAATTATTGGTGTGTTTTAGGACTGCCACGGGTACCCGAAATGACCCGGAACCGCGGAACAATTAATTCGGGACGGGTAAGGTTCCGTTTTTCCGGAATTCGGTTCGGGTCCGATATGTATAGCAGAGTAGATTTTACTATAAAAATGGCGTCAAAAACGAGAGATTTGTTAGTACATTGTCATAAAATTTCAAAATGGCAGGAAAAAAATAAATTTACCTGCCATGTTGGCCTATAAGTTTGACATTGAACAGACAGAATGGCCGATTATCTTCTGTATGTAAACAGGTAAAGGCCAGTTGTATATTTTTCCCCCTTTAGATCCGATTGTTTTTCTCTACTTTCTGCAACTGCCGATTCAATCAGCCAATGACATTTTGGTATAAATAGATCTTGACAAAATACTCTATAATTTTATTTCCAAACCCATCTGCAAGGAGCATAAAAGTAGTGATGAGTGTTTAAAACATCGAAGGAAACCATACCATGTTAGTTTTTTACCACCATGATTGAATATGGGGTCGGACTAATAGCAGGAAACGGACAATGTTGCAAAGTTTTACAAATGGAAAAAATTAGTCTAGGTAATCTTTAAACGTGATTATACATTGAATATCATTAAAGATACAAGTCTTATTTTTGGATTACTATTTCTAAAAATTATATTCCCAAGAAATAAATACATGTACAAGTAAGAAAAGGTGGGACTAATATAAGTTAAATACCCATTGAATGGAATTAAAAAAAAAAAATCCCCATTATGTTTCAATATATTAATTTTGTTTAAAAGAAAACAAAATAATATTTCCACCTTATTAAAAGGAAAGTTGATATTCATATTTGAATATTTTATGTAATAAAATGACTATTTTGTAAAAGTCTGACAGAAATCTGAGTTAGTTTAATTACTTTTCTATTGGCCTATAATTTTAGGAAGTTTAGGACAGAATGGCCTATAACTTTTCTGGTAAATATGCCAGATGTCCTATAGTTACTGAAAAATTATTTCAATCTGAAACCCTGAAAGGTGATTTAAATAATTTGGTACAATTGTTGTCTAGTCAGGAGGCTACTTTAAACTAGTTATAATGTTGCAATTTCTAAGATTATATACAAATGTGGAAATAATACAAATCATGAGCTTTTCTTCCATTACCTACCCGACCCGAGAAACCCGAAACGGAACCTGAAAAAATCAGAACCGACCCGACCCGAAAAATTTTGGAACCGTGACAGCCCTAGTGTGTTTGAATCACACAGACTTGGATGTAGGCATATTTTTCATGAAGCACTAGTGTGCTTCATAAAATAACTCACTCAAAACATTCCCTAATTGAACTTAGGACTTTAACTAAGTCTCACTTCTTCCATAGCAGAGGCCTCAATATGCTTGACAAGGCTAAAAAAGTGGGAGAAAATAAAAATGTTCAAACCAAAATTTTCAACACTTGAAAGTGAAAAAAAAACTCTGTACAAAATAAATCGAGTGCAACTGATGGTGAAGCAAGGAAGTTTGAAATCTGATGTCACAATGAGAAGTTACTTTAAAGTAGATCATACAAAAGTCTTAAGCGAAACTGCCTTTGTAAATATTTGCATGGACCCTGATTGCAGTATATTTCATTTAACATGTTTAATTTTTCAACATTAATTGTAAAATAGTATAAAATGCTATTATCATAATTTATAGGATGCAAAAAATGTTATATTTAATGTTTATTTATATTTCAAAAGTAAAAACGACTTTAAGATACTTTAGTCTAGAGAGGATTAAAGGTCTCTTGTAAAGTTACGACAAATTTTACACACTTATCTTCAATAAAAACAAATCATTAGATATTTTATGAAAAGGCCTACTGACACATGTATACACGTTGATACCTATACAAATTTCAATAGTCAGCTGACAGCACGTCAATTTACCCAATTGGACCTAAATGGAAACACAATGGACCCAAATGAATATTAAATAGGTATTATTATTTATCCAAATTATGAAATGAATTAATTAATTATTAATTTAATAATTTTTTGTAGCTTTCTATATACATGTATAGGCAAAATTATTGGGATGGATGGGGGGGGCAGGGTCTCTCCTCCCCGACCCCACCCCGCTCGGTTTCTAAAGCCATGGAAAGTGTATAAATTTCATTATCCCGCTTCAGACAAATTTGTAGATTGCTGATTAAATAAAGACTGATCACATGACACCCTGAAATATTCTGTATTACATCGCCGTCAAGGAGTAATGTGTAAAATCGCTCAGACACACAATTACGTTCGAAGTGTTGCTTTTGTAAATAAAAATGGTTGCTTAGTAATGGTTTATGTAGGTAGTTTAGTTAAATTTCTTGTTACCGTAACAATATTTTATGTTAATTGTTATTGGATTAAAACTAATATTTTCATGATATGCACAAATATTTTTTTATATTGAAAAAGGTCTTCAGTGGGATAAATTCATAACACAGTCAGTTAGTGACCTAATACGGATTCATACAGGGTGTGAAATGGAAATCCGTATTGGGACTCAGCTTTGCCTCGCCCAATAAGGATTTCCATTTAACACCCTGCAGCGTTTTTTTTCCCTTATTTAACTGGTTTTGATAAACGGCACCATTCTTAATGCCTAAAACGTTAATTTTTCCCAATTTTGTGACCAAAAATTCCCAATTCAACTGTGAAGCAACAGACTATGATCAAGTTGACGAATTGTTTCACTTCTGCTTATAACAAAAGTAGAGAAAGTCGTAATTTGGCGAAGTCTGTTGTGTATACAGCATAGTATCACAAATTTTGACAAAGTGAAAGCATGAAAATGTGGAAAACATGGGACTCCGACATTGATAAAAAAGCAATAAATACGTGTTGCTTATTCTTTAAAACAGGTAGTAATAGGTAATTTAGATGGAATAAGCGCAAAAAGGTTTAATTTGATTAAATGAGGGAAAATTCTCATTGTTCTTCTTTGATGTTATTTTTCCCAATTGAACGGGTACCAGACCCTTTCCCAATGGGTGGGAAAAAATTGCTTCCCTGTATTATTAGTTACATAGTCTTTTAGTTACACGGTATAGAATGATACGTGGTTAATAAATTTCATACCTGGCGAGGCGGAACCTCAAAATTTTTGTCAAAATTACATTTTATCTGTATTTTATAAATGGTTTTCTCTGCTAAATCCTTCATCGCGCTTATACTGTGCCTATTATGACGTCATGTTTGTGTTTGTGATGTAATACATCGACCGGGTATAGATTACAACTGACCAGGTATGGATTTACAACTGACTAGAGTTGGGTATTGCGAGTGAAAACCATATTGCGATTTATTGCAATATTTTACGTTGAATATTGCAATATATTGCGATATATTGTAGATTAATTATCATTAATAAATTTGTACAGAAAGTTTAAAATGCTGTCAAGTTCAAAGACTATTTAAATTTATCTATAAATTTTAAAGGAGGCGGGGGATAAGAAATTAATCGCACACATAAATATAATAACTTTTAATCAAAAACCAGGTAAAAAATTAAAATAAAATGTACTCATTTGATGTATTTTCAAATTGAAAAAAAAAGTTTATGCATAGTTTATTCTTTATAGTTTTTTTTTTTGGGGGGGGGGGGGGGGGTTGTTTTATTGAAATGGCATAAAATGTAATTTAATGATTAAAACAATACATACTATATAGAAATTTTATGTGGTCACAGAATAAAATTAAAGCCAGAATGAAATTGTGACCTATTTTCGGGCGTTTAGTGTTTTAGTCTGACCCGACCTAATTTCACATTATGACATACGATCAGGAACTGCATTGGCCTATTTCTTTTGTTTTAATATACATGCTCCTGGTATAGCATGAAGGTGTTTAAAATGGCAAGAAACTTGTTAAAAAATAATAAAAAGCAACACTGTATCAAGTGAAAACATGGATGGCCATTTATGTGTAATATGTATCTTGAACTTAACATTCATCGTCGATGTGTAGATTCCATGAGCTTTTGAGAACCGCATTACACATGGTATACACCCTGTAGAAATGTAATGTTTTATATATTTTCTTTCTTAATAATTTTATTTAAAAGTCTTTTTATTAATTATTACCAGGGTAATTTTATTTTAAAGTAATATATTTA